AGAACTCTCTTTCAACTTCTTGCTTTCCTGTCAACTACAATCTACAAAAATTTAGATACAACATCATCATCTTCTCTCTCCATGAATGCTGTCTTTTTATTGCTCTCTCCTCAATAACATTTACTTAGTTTCTTTCCCTCTCAGTAACCACTTGCATCTTAGGGGCTTTATCAGGTAGTTGATAAACTCTGCCTAATGTCTATTTCTGTTATTAATATATACGAGGTGGTGCTGAAAAGTTTTTGGACAATACATTCCAAAAATTGGTATTCTTATATATGGTTGTTGTAAGACTTATTGTGAGAAGTAGGTCAGACTAAGAACTTTTCAGCACCTCCTTCATAATGTAATCGATAAATTCAATTTTAGAAAATGTTTTTCCCTAATAATCTTGATTGTCTAATATTAAGTTCTTGAGTTTGCTTCTTGGATGGATTAAAAACAAAACAATTAATACTTAAATTATTTTAGCTAAATCAGATTACTAATCAAATAATACTGATGACATTTCTTTTAAGATCACATTTTCATTATTTGGGACAGTAATTTACAGGACATTATACTCTAATCTAAATATTATCATAACTGCTAAAGAAGTTACTTTGTAGTCAAATATTTTTTGGATTGTTATAATTAACTTGTAACTTTGAAGTAGTAGTTTTAGTTTGAATAAAGTACAACAGAATAAATTTATAATAATAATAATAGTGTTAATTGTCAATTTGCCATATATATATATATATATATATATATATATATATATATATATATATATATATATATATATTTGTTTTTTAATGTGTAGAAGGAAGGAATTAGCATGTTAACTGTCAGTTAAGAAATTGATATAATTTTGATTTAGCAGGATTATTATCTTATCAGCTGAATTATCTGAGATAAATTCTGAAACATTTACAAAGTATCTTTAATATGAGATTTTATCTGGATATAGACCTAAAAAAATAAACACATTTTCATGAAAATTAGCAAGTTTTGATTTTCTCAACCTTTTTATTAAAAGTCCTTTAACTTAGTCTAAACAATGATATATTATCATAAAGCAGAAAAAACAAAAGGACTAATGTCCTTTTGTTTTTTCTACTTTGATACTTTGTGAATGGTCCTTTTACTCAAATTACCTAATTTGCATGTAGTTTCTAATATAAATTGGTTTGCACCAAGGTGGATCCTAATCTAGTATGGAATATTTTTTATTATTACAAAATTCTTTTTAAAGTTCTATAAATGAATAATGCAAGGTCTTGGTTTATTGGCTATTTATTCAGAGATCCCTTTAGAATTGTTCATGGGTAATAAGTTAAATTATAAAATTAAATCAGTGTATGTTAAAGAAGTATATTATGTGTTACTGGAAACTAGGTAGATAGGCAGGAGCTTATTGATATATTAAGTAACCAAACACTAGTAGCACTAATGGAACAAGTAAATAAAATACAAACTAGATAACAAGTTGCTGCTCGTTTCCTTTAAAAAAAATAATCCTTGACAGTTTATATTACTGATCAAATAATTTAAGAGGTGGAGTAATGTTAAATAAAGTATAATTTGTTGAGAGATTTATATGCCTATTTGCAAACACAAAAATATTTTATGTATTCTTGTCAATCTACAAACAAAAAAGTACTAATAATCTTAGTAAATTGGGTGTGTGCTTCTCTCATTGTCTAGCCTGTGTTTTTGTGATTCATCTCTCAAATATGAAATGTGAAGATTATTTAACTTCTAGGTTGTTTGAAATTCATACACATATAGACTGTAGGCCAAAAGTTTGGGCAACCTTCTGTATTTTATAATTTGTAAGTCTCAAAATTTCTTTGCTTCAATTAATTCATAAGCTAAGAGGTTGAAACTATTTAACTTATTAGGACATGACAATTCAATTTTTTTTTTTAGAGAGGCATTTAACTGAAAATTTTAAATCTGCCAGCCTTAACATTACCATTAGTAAGCATAGTATATCAGACAAAAAGTGCTAACATTTTAAGGAAACTTTATTCAGTAATAGGTTAATTTCATTATTATTATTGATTATATAATAAAAACCCTTCAGGAAGAGAAAATCCTTCTGGCCCGAAGTGAGCTAGTAAGTTTTGGAAAAAGGTATGAAACCTTCAGTTGTTAGTTGGTTTTTTGAAATTCAGAGGATGTCCCCAATCTTTTATAATATATAATTTTATATATCAACAATTGGTATTTAGAAAAAATATGACAAACCGGGAAGGTTATTTTGATATGTTTCATTCGTTAGGATTTCAATGGACTGGGCCTTGTTGATGTGATGCCTACATATGCGCACAAAATGAGAGACACAGCTTGTTTTTTGAAAGAATATTTTTTTACTGCTCTAGCTAAATTCATCTGGCAACATCAACAAAGACCAGTCTGATGAAATCCTAATGAATGAAATGCATCATAAAAAGCCATTCCAGTTTGTCATATTTTATATATATATATATATATATATATATATATATATATATATATATATATATATATATATATATATATATATATATTATTTTACTTAGGTTTAATAAAGATATATATTCATTGATGATCATGCATTTTCCTTTTTTTTCATTTTAGCAGTTTTACATTTAATTACATAATTATTTAACCATGCCTCATACTTCAGATTAAATAAGTTTAGAATAACTTGAATTAACAATTTCCAATGGGAACATGTTGGTCAATCTAAAGGTTAAAATGAGTCAGCATCAAAATTAGTGCTTCTACATTCAACTGTGAGCTGTTTATTGATACAGTTCATTAATCAAAAGGAAGAAGCCAGTCTAAGTTGCCCATAGAAAAATGTAACATCTGAAAAACGTCTTTGTATGATAAAACAGGAAATTAAAAAAAACAAAACAAGACTTGCAATACACCAGATGTCGTTGAGCATTTTCCACATAAGTATGGCAGTATATCAGATGGATTATTATGGCAGAACATCTAGAAGAAAGCCACTTGTTAATTCAACAGAGAAAGCAATGTGGGAGAGAAGACTATTGGCATTTTTAATACTTTGTTCTCTTTTCAGAGGAATCAACATTTGCTTGGTTTTTGATGAGTAGGCTAAGCTAGAAGAGATCTGGAAATCAATTTGCATAGTTTTGTTAATGTTTTAGGAAGCCATGACTGGGTTCTCCTGTTTCTGTGGCATGATGCAGTGTCCTGTTTCTAGAAATAGGGTCTTCCAGCAGCCACCCTCTTGACCTAGGACAGCACTACCTCCTCAAGGTACTTGATGTAGGCTTCCATGTTGAATTTGAAGCCCTCACCAACAAATTTGGGAGTTCTTATCAGAATGATCAGAGGGAGTTTTCAGAGTTGCCATACCTTTGTAATCATAATAAGAATCATCCAACACCTTCCAAATTCTCTGCGCTGTCCTCTGATTGACATCCAAACACTCTGAAATGTTTGTATTGGAGCTTCCGGTGCAAATGTCAAGCAGTACAGCATGCTGTTTCCAAATTTCTGGTGGAGTGAATTGTATCATGGTACTTTTTTTCTCACAGATGGCACCCAACTGACCCTATTATACTGTGTAGTTGACAAAAACAATGCACATGCACAAAATTAGGAATATAAAATGGCGACAATTTACCTATCACACCCTGTAATTATCTCCTTTTCATGGATGAGAAAAACTGTGTTGCTATTGTGTAACAGAAATAACTTTAAAATGATGTCTCATAAGGGACTTGCATCACTAAATCAGTCTGTTGATATAAGTTTTATTTTTTTGGATCATGAAATAAGTATAAAAAGATTTAAAGTTCTGATAATTTTGATGCTTTAAAAGAGTAAAGCATTAGAATCTACTGGTGATAAATTTACCAAATTTTAATTTGCAGGATATTCTTTATTTTTTTGATCATTAAACAGACTCTGACAATAGTTGTTTATTTGCTTTTGTTACGTTCCTGTAAATAGATTCTGCTAGAACTACAGATCGATGCAATAAGAGATGTTGAATTATGATTATGGTTTTACAGTGCATTTCTTTGGCTAACTTGATTTTTAAATACTTTTGGTTTTTAATTGGATATCCATTTTTTAAAAAGCTTTTATAAATGAAACTTTGAAATTATAACACTCAGTTTATCCAGTGCAAGTTGAAGTTGTGTGTGTTTCCTTAATCTGCCCAAACCTACCCCCATAAATATCGGCTCTCAATGTTCAACCTGCCTTATGTATGCTCTACATAATATATGATGACATCATTGTAAAATCTTTTTTTTTTGTTTGTTTTAATCATTTCACCCCAAGGAAGGATATAAAGCCACTAATACTATTATGGAGAGAAGACAATAAAAGAACAAGAATTAAGAAGACAGAAGATAACAATTGATGTTGCATTTAAATTTTTGAAGATCAAAGTTGACAGGGAAGCAAGAAGCTGCTAGAGAATTCCACAAGCAAGAAATGCAAGAAAAGAAAGCCTTAGCATAGAACTTAGTTACATCTAGCCATTTCAACTGTAAAATAACACAGGAAGTCATACAGTGAAACTTTGGCTATAGTTAAACTTTGCAAGTTGATATTTATGGGGGCAGGTTAGGATGGGTTGAATGCTAAAGGTTTAAGATGTTTTCTAGTTGTTACTACTTTCCTCTTTTGTGAATCAAGCTGCAGACAAAAATCATGGATGTGATCAAACCTACATTCCTACAGTTAATATGTAACTAAATGTTAGTGATTTGTTAATGTTGTCAACATGTTCAACTTACCAATGTGTGTCAGTATTTTATTTATTTTTTTAAGTACATTCTTAGAAATAATCATGTCATTTTAAATACCTATTTATTTTGTTAAGTTTCTCTTGAGTTAGCAAGAGTTAGCTTCTTTTTTTTTTTTCTTTTTTTTTTTAATAATACTTTGAACAGACTATAAAAGAAATAGATGACAGATCAATTTTGAAAGAAGGCTCTTACATAGACTAAGTGATGCATAGTTGACATCTTAGGAAGTTGATGCACTGCCATTATAACTGTTTTTATCTCTCTTACTTCTGCTAGTGTACAAAACCTCAGTTGTTGACATTCTCAGTTGGAGTGTTTTCTTTGCTTGCTGTTTTCATCTGAGTCTTGCTGTCATTGCTGTTGTGTCGTGCTAAACTGATGTCTATTCCTCATGCAAGTAAAGGCATTCTTGAATGTTGACAAGAGGGAGACCACCAGCTTTGAACATATGACCTTACAACTTGGCAAATCTTTTTTGCCAGATTTTTGGATCATTGCTTAATGCATTTTATCTGTATAATGAATAAGAATAAATTGATTTAATGTTCATGTTAATCAGTAGTATTAAAATTCATGGGATATTCTGTATTGAGTAGTCTAAAATGTTTGCTAGATGGCATTAGGTGTGTTTAGCTTTAACTAACTTCTTTTATAATGATTGCTTTAGATTGTATTCTAATAACTCTTATCAGCAGGTATTTAAAAAAAAAATCTCAATTAGCTTGTTTCTGTTTGTTATTTTTTTTGTGAAAGAAAATAATTTTTTTTTTTTTTTTTTTTTAAAGATGAATAAAGATTTGTACAGTTTATGAGAAAGGTACTGTGAGTGGTTAAATATGTAAAAAAAAAAAAAAGTCTATGAAGGTTTTTGTATTAAAGATTTCTCCTTGAATGACGCTCCATAATTGGCCAGACGAGTCGCGGTTGATAGAAGCTACTGTCATTAGTTGAGAATAATTGATTGTGTGTGTGTGTAATATATATATATATATATATATATATATATATATATATTTACTATTATTATTTATTTTTTCACCTTTTTTAAATATTATAGTAGATTATTTTGTATATATTTTTTATTAGTATTATGATGATGATTAAATGTATAACAACATAGATTGCATTTCCGTGATTTTTATTACTGGTTGTGTGTTTAAAGGTTTATCCATAAAAACTTCCCCTACATTCCCTTACTCTATATACAAACTTCATTTTTCTTCCCCCATTTTTCTCTCACTTCAATAGTGTAAGCCTCACTCCAAATTTTTAAGGTCAAGTTAAAATCGCTACTTCATTTTTTCCTTTTTTTGTCTGTTTTTTATCAAACTGTCTGGCTGAATTTATATCATTTAATAAAAAGTAGTTGATCTGATGAGGCAGATATATATATATATATATATATATATATATATATATATATATATATATATATATATATATATATATATATATATAAAACACTGATTATATGATGACTAATCAAGTCTTTTCCTTGTATATATTATATATATAGCCAAAGATAGCCAGCATAGTGCAAATATCTAAATGAAGCACTAGTGATGTTATATGGCACATCCCCTGTCTAGCAGCATTAGCACCACTGTACAGCACATATAGATGAGATTTTGCTAGGGTCAGCAAAGGTAATCAACTGGACCTGTGGAAGCAGTCACCTATTAGACAGCCTACCACCCTTGACATCTGAATGTAGCAGTTCCCTTAGTGGCTGTATTGTAGTGTTACTCTTTCTCTTTTTATAGCCCAGACTCATATTACATTAATTGCTTAATTTCCTTTTCTCACAGTGTGGTGGAATTGGTGTTTCTTTTTCTTCTGCTCTTGCTCGCTCGCATTCTCTCTCTCTTGTTCGCTCTCTCGCTCGCTCGCATTCTCTCTCTCTCTCTCTTGCTCGCTCGCATTCTCTCTCTCTCTCTCGCTCGCATTCTCTCTCTCTCTCTCTCTTGCTCGCTCGCATTCTCTCTCTCTCTCTCTCTTGCTCGCTCGCATTTCTCTCTCTCTCTCTCTCTTGCTCCTTCGCATTCTCTCTCTCTCTCTCTTGCTCCTCCATTCTCTCTCTCTCTCTCTCTTGCTGCTCGCATTCTCTCTCTCTCTCTCTCTCTTGCTTCGCATTCTCTCTCTCTCTCTTGCTCGCATTCGCATTCTCTCTCTCTCTCTTGCTACTTCCGCATTCTCTCTCTCTCTCTCTTCTTGCATTCTCTCTCTCTTCGCATTCTCTCTCTCTCTCATTCTCTCTCTCTCTCTCTCTTCGCATTCTCTCTCTCTCCTTTCGCATTCTCTCTCTCTCTCTCTCTTTCTCATTCTCTCTCTCTCTCTCTCGCATTCTCTCTCTCTCTAGCTTTCGCATTCTCTCTCTCTCCCCTGCATTCTCTCTCTCTTTCGCATTCTCTCTCTCTCTCGCATTCTCATTCTCTCTCTCTGCATTCATTCTCTCTCTCTCGCTCGCATTCTCTCTCTCTGCATTCTCTTCTATTTCTCATTCTCTCTCTCCTTCGCATTCTCTCTCTCCCTCGCATCTCTCTCTCTCTCTCTCCCTCGCATCTCTCTCTCTCTCTCTCATCTGTCATCTCTCTCTCTCTCTCCCTCGCATTCTCTCTCTCTCTCTCTCCCCTCGCATCTGTCTCTCTCTCGCATCTCTCATTCTCATTCTCTCTCCCTCGCATCTGTCATTCTCTCTCTCCCCTCGCATCTGTCATTCTCTCTCTCTCTCGCATCTGTCATTCTCTCTCTCTATCTCCCCTTCTCATTCTCTCTCTCTTTCGTTCATTCTCTCTCTATCCCTTCTCATTCGTATTCTCTCTCTCTCTTCGCATTCTCTCTCTCATTCTCTCCTTTCATATTTCTCTCTCTCCCTTATTTGTCATTCTCTCTCTCTCTTACTTTCTCATTATTCTCTCTCTCTCTCTCCTTTCTCTCTCTCTATTTCTTTCATTCCCCTTCTCTCTCTCTCAATCTTCCTTTCATATTCTCTCTCTCTTTCATTTCTCTCTCTCGTCTTTCTCTCTCTCTGTTTCTCGCATTCTCTCTGTTTCTCTTTCTCTCTCTCTCTCTCTCATTTCTCTCTCATTCTCTCTCCCCTTTCTCTCCATTCTCTCTCTCTCTCTAGTTTTATTTATTCTCTCTCTCTCTCTAGTTCTCTTTCTCGTTCTCCTATTTCTCTTTCTCTCTCTCATTGTTTGCTTCTTCTCTCTCTCTCTCTCTCTTCGTTCCTTCATTCTCTCTCTCTCTCTTTCTCTTTTATCTTATTCTCTCTCTTATTTCTCTTCATTCTCTCTCTCTCTTCCTTATGCCTTATCTCTCTCTTCCTGGATTCTCTCTCCTTCTTTTCTTTTTTCTCTTCTTTCTCTCTCTCTCTTTTTCTCTCTTTCTTTTAACTTCTTTTCTTTAAGGAAAATTCTCTCTCTTTCCTTTTATTCTCTCTCCTTTTCATTCTCTCTCTCTTTTCTTTTTCTCTCTCTTCTTTCCTTTCTCTTCCTTCTTTCTCTTTCTCTCTCTCTCTTTCTTCTCTCTCTTCTCTCTCTCTTTTCGCATTCTCTCTCTCTCTCTCTTTGTCCATTTCTCTCTCTCTCTCTTCTATTCGCATTCTCTCTCTCTCTGATCTTTTTTCATTCTCTCTCTCTCTCTTTTTCGGATTCTCTCTGAGCTCTCTCTCTCATTCTCTCTCTCTCTCAAGAAAGTCATTCTCTCTCTCTTGCTATTTCCCATTCTCTCTCTCTCTCTCTCTCATCAAAACGCATTCTCTCTCTCTCTCTCTCTTTCTCTAAAAATTCTCTCTCTCAAAATTTTGCATTCTCTCAGAGGAATTTCTACATTCTCTCTCTCTCTTCATTCTCTCTCTCTCTCTCTCTTGCTCGCTGTGTGTATGTGTGCGTGAACAAAAGAATATATCCTTTGCCCTAATTCCAAAGCATAGAGCATGAGAACTCACCTAGTTAGATAATTATTTAGTAATGGGCTAATAAATCAGATTTTATCCATTATTTCAGCCTTTTCCTTTTCTGAATGATTCACCTACTCACCCTATCCACTTGTTCTGGGTTATTGTTTCTTGGAGTTTTGACACCTGCTTTATTTTACCCAAATTTTTGTTAGAAAATCCCATTCTTTGATTTTATCCCTCTGCTTGTTTTCTGTCTGTAAGATTTTTGCCAATCCTTACCCTTTTATTTCTTTGGATTCTATCAGGATTGCATTTTATTTTTTATTTATTCCTATTCTTTAAAATATTGGTTAATAGAAATCTTTAATTTTGAGCCTTTTTTGTGCATCTAGCCTTATCTGGGTATGAACATTTCTTCAGGATAGGACTAGGATTCTTCTTCTTTATGTGCTGTGTTTCTTCAGGGCATAGGTAATCATGGCTCTCTACATCCTCCTGTCCTGTGTAGCTCTGAATAAACTTTGTCTTTCTGTTATTTCTCCTAAGCCCTGTTCTGTCATCCATTTGCTCCAAGTGCATTAAGTATGTTATGCATTGTCTTCCTGTCCCTCTTTATCTGTCCTGTGAGTATCAGATTTTCCTAGTTCTCTTTCCTCATCATATGCCCTAGAAAACTCAACTGTCTCTTCCTGATGTTAAGTATTAGTTTCCTTTTTGGTTCCATTTTCTTTAAAAATTTGTTGTTACTCACATGTTTGGTCAGTGGTATCCTCGGCATTCTTCTGCAGAACCACGTTTCTGTTTCTTCAAGTTTCCTCTTCATGTTTCAGGAGATCGTCCAGCACTCACTGCTATACAGGACATATATTACATAGTAATTTGGTACTCTTTTTCTTGTTTCCTGCAAAAATTCCCTATTTCTAAGTACTCAGCTTAGCTTTTGGAATGTTTCCTTGGCTTTGCCTTTGGATTTCAGTGTTGCTCTTTCTGTCCTCTGTTAATACACATCTCAGATATTTAAATTTCTGCACTTGTTTGAGTTTGGTGCCACCAATTTACAATTCGCACTTCCACTCATTCTTTTGCTAGCAATCATACACCTTATTTTATAAGTTAAATATTTAATCAGACACATCAGAATATTTCTATTGCTGGATTGTAAAATCATAGCTAACCTTGGAGATTGTCATTGTGTTACATACTGAAAATCATTTGTACCAATTTGATTATGCTAGTCACTTTGGTATGTAACTTTCATATAAGAGTGTTTTCCAAAAACAGAACAGTAGTGATTTGCTAACTAAATATAACAAATATCCCAATTTTGGAACTAATTATGTTGGTTGATGAAAACTGGATATTTCACAGCAGTGTGTGGAATGCAAGAAATCATGGAGCAAGTTAAATAACCCACCACTGACTGATGGTACCAAAGGCTGATTTTCAGCCAAAGAAAGTGATGCTATATATATATATATATATATATATATATATATATATATATTCCCTTCTTGTTAATAATGATAAAGATATAAATATTTATTGATTTTAAACTATCGATAAAATTAAGATCTATAGATCATAATAACACCTAAGTTAAGTGTGATGTAAATCTATTTTACTTGTGTGTGTGTAAAAAAAAAAAAAAAATAGTGCAAGTTTATAAAGTTTCTAGTTTAAAGTCTGTTTCAGTTCAAAATAAATTTATTTTTAATTTCATTTTAAACATTGTTAATTCACCCATTTAATATTATAAATTATTAATTTAATAATTATCATCAAAATTATGTAATATAAAAACAAAACGAATTCATGTTCTGTTATGCTCTCTTTTAAGACAATTTTTATTTTTTTTAATTTATAACAAAAGAAGAAAAAAATATGAATGTATGGAATTCTTATCAATGTCACATTTAATTTCTTCATATAAAAAATTGAACTTGTGTCACAAATTGTCCTTGTGGTGAGGAAGTTAAATTACAACAATTTGTTTTTATAAGTTTTAATCCCTAAAATCGTTTTTTTTTAGTCTCAGTTATTAAAAACATTTCTTTTTGTTTATGTAACATACTACATAAACAAAAATAAATTTTCTTTTCAATAACTGAAACTTAAAAAAGTAAACATTTCTTTTTATGAAACATAAAATTTGTTTCTAATGAAATTCATGTATTTCTTAAAATTATAAAATCTGTTTTGAAAGCTATAAAATTTTCATAACAAACTTATATTTGAAGTTTACTGAAAAAAAGATTTTTCACATAAAATTTTGTATTAAAAAAATAAAATTTAATTTCCATCAAAAATTAATTTTATTTTACTAATATTTTTCTTTGGCATAATTGAACTTTGCTGTGTTAAATTATTTTGGCATTTAAAATATTTTGATCATTTTTTTTCTCATTTATTCCTCCTTGGAGTTAAGTTTTATAAGTAGAAATGTATAAAAAAAAGTGACAAATGAGTATTTTATCCTATTTTTATCTGGTGTGATTAAGCTATAGTTTATTCCACTTTGAACATGATTTATTTTAATATTTCTAAAATAAAACTAGTAAAATTTCATTTTTTAAGAATCTAATAAATAACTGAAAAAATCAATCCACTGTAAAAAATACACATTTACAGTTGTTCTCATCCTTATGAAGATTTTAATCATTTTTAATCTTATTTTTTATTTTAATGTTTTGCTACAGTTGAATCTCATACTTTATAAAATGATCAAGTTGGATATCAGTGTTAGTTTTCAACTTCCTAATATTTTTAAAAATTTATTGTGAAGTTTACTAAATTTGCTTATATCTCTTTAAAAAAAAAATCAAGGGATATATTTTTACTGTGTTGTTGTACTTTTACACTTTTTCTTTTAACAATAATAAAACACATTTTGATTCTTTTTAAAAATTATTAAATTTTTTAGTTTGTGAGAAATTTATTTTAGACTGTAAAAAATTTTAGTAATTAAATTTGTTACATAAGATTGAACATCCTTTATTATTTATTAAGTTGCTGTGATAATTCATTTTTAATTCTTATTAAATGTTTGTAAACAAATTTAAAATTTTCATTTATTTTTTATTCACCGTCCTGCAGGATTAGGTACTTGTACTTTATCAAAAGATATGCAGGAGTTAAACCACAATAGGATGATCTCTTTCTGCTTAGAGTATCATTGTTGCAATATTATATATATATATATATATATATATATATATATATATATATATTGGGGCGTCTCTTATTTTTGAAGTGCATGCTGAAACTGAATTGTCACCCCTAAATTTGTTCCATTCATTGAAAGATGCTGCATATAGAATTTCAAGGAGATTGTATAATATTTAGAGGGCACTTTTGTTAAAACTTAAAAGGTGGACAAAAAATGGGCCCTTTATTTTATAATTAATAGCAAACCATTATTAGTTGAATCTTTACAAATGATTTACTTAGAAAACTAGAAACATTTTTCATCTAAAAGTAAAGAAATTTTAAATTTTAACTGATGTTTATTATTTTCAGACCCCAATTATGGCAAGTGTATCCAATACCAAGCAGAAAAATGTGGTTTGCAAGTTTAAGATTTCTGATGATAACCAAAGTAAAGCAATACGTCAACTGTAGCTAGGTACTTAAGTGATTTACATGAAGAAATTGTTCTCTTTATTGTTTAAACTCTTACACAATTTTTTAAATAAAAAGGATATCTAACTTTATTTCATAAGTTTATTGTATTCATTTTTCTACTAAATATTTTATTAATAAATGTACTTTGTTCATTAAGTTTCCCAAATCAACTGTAGGGCCTGAAAATGATGAATTTTAATCATTGTAGGTATTGGAATCAGGAATTGTAAGTTTTAGAACAGTATCATCATCCCATCACACACACACACACACACACAAAATATTGGTATCATCCATATATACATATATATATACATATATATATATATATATATATATATATATATATATATATATATGGGATTGAAGTATACTCTTCCTTCTGAAGAACCAAACAGGTGTACAGTACCTAAGTTGAAAACAGCAACCAGTGAAAACATTCAAAATTAGTTAAGAGGAAAGTGTATAATATTCTGTCAGGATTGGCTTAGCTCGGAACTTCTGATTTATCTTCCATATTCACCAAACATTACACCATCAGATTACTGTTTATTTTATTCTTTAGTGAAATGATTCTCAACATGGGTGGTAATGCCCCAATCCAAGGAGGTGTTATGAACTCTCAAGAGGACAGTAAGTATTCAGCAGAGTTGGGAGTGACATTACAAATCTGACAGGGTAGTAGGATGATTTAATTCTTTTTGGAGTTTGATTGGAACAAGTCACAAGATTATACATACACATTTGTTTATCTTTTTGTGTATATATTTACATTTTTTAGATGTATTTTTAATGGTTAGCTGCTATTGAAATGTAGGGAACAAAGACCTGCAAGCTGAAGTCTGGCAACAACTCTGGTGACTGCTCCTCGACTGTTCTTGGCATAGCTTACTTTTGGTGATTAGCGCTGTTAAAATGCAACAAAAAAAAAATGCATGAGATTAACTCTGCCCCATTTACTAGTGAAATTTTAATATAGGAGGTACCATCCTGTACAAATATCTGAAAATGCTGTAGAAGAAAAGGTTAAGAACCACAACTTTAGTGAAATTGACTTAATGAAAAATATTTCATTTCTCTCTGCTGAGAAAGATAATTTTTTAGGAAGATGGAATTCTGAAATCGACTAAAAAATGAAAGA